TACCTAGAGCTGGAACAGACTTGTCATTGAAATACTTCTCTGGAAAAAGGCCTCTGAGGTAGCTGATATTGAATAGAGCAATGCGAAGCAAATTCCTTGTCTGATTCAAAGCAAATCACTCAGAGACTTAAAAAACAACTTAAGTTAGTAGAAACAGAGAATATAAAGAGATTATCCAGTCAATACCATCCTATTCTAGAAAATATAAGCATCACAACCGTAAAAACTCATAGATCTAACAAATCACGGCGTAAGAAACCCGTCCATATTTTACCAAAATTTAGATAAGTGTATAAATACTGAACATATTTTCATACGAAGCATCCGAGCTTAATATAATCTGCAAGCTCGATCTACAGCTATAAACGTCATTAAAGCTAAACAACTCAAAATCACCATGCACCGTCGTCAGCCTAGCGCGAAAAGTCCTTAGATATAGAAACCGAATATCTCTTCTCAACCATCAAAACAATGCTAGATAGGAGAAATCAAAATTTGAGAATAAGAATCACTATAATAAGATCAAACCGTCTGTTGAAGGCAACGGAAATCAAGATCTGAGCACATAAGTCACTACAATCCAGTGGAAGTGTATAAGCAGGCAACAGAAATCGAAATTCGAGAACAAAAGCCACTTTCATTGAATGAAAAAAGCAAGAAGAAAGACTAAAATCTGCAAACGCATGATTATCTTTACCAGAAGAAGCGAGTCCTGCTCGGTGATCTCCGCTTCTTTCAGTTTCTGCGCGACGACCTGAGAACAACAAACCGATGACGCTACAGTAAGTTAGAGAGGGAATGGAGCTGATGAACGGAGAAGAAAAATGCTAAGAAAAGTTGAAGAGATGAACCGAGGATGAAGATATCAAAGAGATTGCAGAGCGAGCTTACCATTGCTGCAGAAATTCAAGAGAAATTGAGAACAGCGAATGCGAATACAAAAAACGAAAGATGGAAATGAGAATTGGAGAGAGTTTTGGTTTGAAATTTTGAATCAAATTGAGAAATGTAGACACTGGCGGGGGAGGAAGGAAACGCAATTGGGTATTTATAAACGGACTCTGAAACTTCCCACCATGGTGATCATGCGATTTGCGTGTGGAGCAATGAAGTAGGAGTTGGAGTTGTTATTTCATAAAAGTTTTAGGGGTATTTTCGTCTTATCATGTTGAAGAAGCGTCTAAGGCCGTTGAATTCTTTGCACTAAGGGGCTCCACTTTCAACTTTTCTCCCACGTAATTGATGAATAAATATTTACCGTCGTTCTCATAAAAAAAAATAATAATAATAATTTACCGTCCTTCGTTTGTAGTACTTGCATTTTGATTTTGAGTTGATAGTGAATTTTTTTTTTAACAGATACAATTTTTTTTTTTTTTTGAACATTTTTACCATGGGATCAGTAAAACCATTGTCTTTGGGAGAAGAAAATAAACTTTTAAGTGTGACTAACGCCACTTAGCCCATAGGTCAGGTTCTTCAACAGATACAATTTAGGAGCAGAAAAAAAAAAATTTAATATGACAATGCTATGATTTGAACTTTGATAATTTCTAAATTATTTTGATTTTTATAAGGGTACTGAATTGTGGGAATGCATAAAATATTTATAAAATAATTTTTAAAACTCAACAAAAGTGACCAAAGTCAGTTTAGCAGCAAAATATTTATCTAGAAGTTATAAGTTTATAATTTTAACTTCAATTTGATGAAAGCTAAAAGTGCTTTATCAAATATAAAATATAATTTCCATTTATTTATAAATATTATTGAGCTAATCATAAGCTCGACCACAACAAACTCAAAATTGAGCTTCATCTTGTTTAGCAAATGAGTTTGGCTTGAATCAATCCTCCCCTCACTTAGTCCTACCAGCCAACGCAAGACATGAAGATAGCATTTTGTGGGAACTGATCTTTCAAAACTGAATGGTAGAAATATGTATGTATGAGTATCAACAGAAAATGTAGAATGAAATTCAGATTCAATTTTTATAAATATTAATTGAATATTTGGATTTAGGGTAGGAAGAGTTAAGAAGTATGGCAAACCACTTTTTTCTTTTTTCTTTTTTTTTTTGGTTAATGTTTTCATCTGCTTGATACATTGCTACACTATAGATTTATTCCCCTTTTTTTCTGATTGGAATCACACCCGACTTGAACTCTAGGTCTTGGAACAAAAACCCTAATGAAGAGAAATGGTATTCCTAGAAGTAATGTCAAACAACAACAACAACAACACGGCACTGAGCACACAAGATAAAAGCACTCCACATATGAACTGAAAGGCTTACAGTCTCACATTGTTCAACTTTCAAAAAGGACTCTGCTTGAAGTCAGTGGAGGGTAGACAGCTGCAGCTACTTTCTCCCGAAGATTGAATTTCTTCGCGATTTGAGGCCTAACATCTTCAACCCCAGCCAAGCTCTCCAAAAAGGGTAGCAGTGAAAGTAGTTCTTGATCTGAACGGTCATCAAACCAGCTCTCTATTGGTATCCCATTGTCCACTTGGAACCCGAATGCCTGAGAAGAAAACCACCCAGCATTTCAATTACAAATTCTCATTGCTTCATGCACAGAGAATGATACAGTTCTTAAGGACATTTAAGAACAAAATGACTTGATGCATTATTAAGAAGAAAGTGTTAAAAGTTAATATCAAGCGCTTTGTAAAAGATGATATCAATTGATTGCACTATTATTCATAAAAGAGAATCACTCAATGTTCGCTAATAAAAGAAAAAATCAATGTCAGAGATTGCAAACTTTTCAGTGTTCATGGTCATCTCTAGTCAGTCATGTCAATAGCACACACACTTTCAACAAACATGACACTTCCAACTCCCTCCAGAGGAGCAAGATTAACTTGGAATGGAAATATAAAAATAAAAATAAAATAAAATAAAAAATGATCACTAATGGAAGACAGATCCTAAACATTCCATGCAAGATACTGCAGGAATGACTTCCGTCAAATTAAATGACACGGTACCCTCCACAATTAACATTTGACTTTGTTGATAGCACATATAAATACACATGCAGAAGCACAAAGAAATGTATTTTATGACAAAAAACCTATCTTCCTTTTCTTTCCATATTTATTCCATACTCCACCCCCTCCCTTCCGCTCCTTTCCCTTTCTGCCAGGAAGCTTGGGGTGGAGACAGGTTTATATCTCCTCCATGAGAGAAGCAATAGACTCATGAGAGAGAAAACTATAAATTTACCTGTGGAGAGTTGTCAATTATGATAACACGCGCTAGATCACGGCCAAGAATTGTCAAATCTTTGAGGTAATTACCATCCACAAAGACACAGGATTCACGGAAAACACGATGGCGAAAAACCTTCCTCTTTGGATCAAGCACATTTAGAAGTTGCTCAGCATATATACTTTGACTAGCAGTGAATATAATGATTTCAAAAAGACTGGAAACTCTTTCCATAAAATCTCTGAGGTATGGACGACAGCGAACATAGACTGTGTGTTCCTGGAGATTAAAATTTACAGGGAATGTGAAGTCTGCATCATCACAAGGCTCTAGTGTGGAATGAACCAAAGTTTCTGCAAAATCAATATAGTTCAATCAATACCATCAATAATCATCATTGATAATGACACAAATTATTTGCTAAACTATGAGTGCTGAGCTGACAAAATTTTAGGAAAGAAGAAAATATTTGATAAGAAACAGACAGAGTAACTACTGCTTTTGGCAACCATTTCCTACCAATATCCTAATAAACAACATGAAATTGCAAAATTAAATGTTCACTTTGTCAGCCAAAAAGAGAAGACCGAAGGAAACTAGAAAGATCAAGATGTAAGATTCAATAATAACCAAGAATTATGATCCATGTTTAATATAATTTCCAAATGGTTGTCTATAATCATCTAACTATTCTTACCATCCAAGTCCAACACAAGAGTAGTAGGAGGGCAACTCCGGGTCTGTTTAGGGAGCAGAACTGGACGAAAAGTTGGAACAACAGAAGACAAATCTGGCAAGTTCTTTATAAATAAATATGGATCAAAGTCGTCAAATTCCTCATAGTATTCATCCTCTGCACAAACATCAGTTGACATAGGATCTTGACCAAGCTCATCAACACATTCCAACTTTGAGTTTTTCATGGCAAGATATATGGCTGAAACTTCAGATGAAAGAGTAACCCCTTCTGAATCAGCATTACAACAAGAATTCACATCATTTGTGTCCACAGCTAGCATCTCTTCTTCAGAAATGGATTTTGGAACTTCTTCAGTAGTAAGACAATCCACCCTACTAATTTCTGAATTATCTACTGCGCCATCTTCACTCCGAAAGAATTTGATAAAGTCAACTAAATAAGAGACACAGCTTAACATCAAATAGAAGAACACAGAATGAAATTAACATATTATATGGGTTCCATACCTGCACTAGCAATCTCCCCTCCACAAATCTTAGGTAAGTGAAAGCTTGGAGAAAATATAGTTTCTGACATTTGATGAGCAGTTGCCTCATAAGAACCCTACAAAAAAATTGAGAGCTTAAACAGTTTTCAATTTTTTTTAAAAACTTTAGGTTCACTATTAAATCAACATTTCCCACAACCCTAGTGGGGCAAAACAGAAGTTCATAGCAGACAGTTTACCTTATGATCCGCAAAAGCATCTTCAGTTGCCTCATATTTTAAAGAAGCATCATTAGTCTTATTACAGTCCAAATTACACCTAGCCTTCAAATTCTTCACTGCAACAGTCTCTCCATTTTTCTTCGGAAGTGCACCAGCTGAATTTTTTTTTGTTTTTTTAACATCAAGATTTTGATCAAAAATTAATTCAATTCCTAATTTAATATATCTAGTGAGAAACTGAGAATCCTTATAATTAGACCCTTTCAAAAGATAATTTTCCAGTCATGAAAACCACATAAACTACCAGTGCACCAAGCAAAAAATGTTCTTTATGAAACTTAACAAAATACATAAGTGATATATTATTGTGAGAAATAATATATAAACTAGTGAGATAAACTCTTTAACATACCAACTCTCTGCTTTCTAGCTGAAGATGCAATTAGCTCTATCGCTTTCCTCTCTGAAACTTGTGCATTTTCAGAAATTTTCTTTTGAGATCTTGAAACCCTGGTACTGGCAGGCTCTCGAGAAGCATTTCTCCCAGATACTCTTTTCTTTGTTTGCATTTTAACAGTGTCCTTCCAATCTCCAGAATGGTCTCCCCAGTGTATAGGCCTCTGGATAATAAACCTAACTGTCAATAATTGGCATAAAGCAAGGTGAAGTTTTCAAGAGAGAATATTTAGCAATATAATAGTTATAATTGAGTTTCAACTAATCTAATCAATTATAGCTTTCAAGGATTGCCACCTCAAATGCATAAAACTAGGAGTGGGGGGGGACCAAAACCCAGTCTCTACAGAAAGAACAACACATCAAAATTCCACCAGGCCAGTACATTAACATAGAGTACAATCAAATCAAATCTCTTAAATCCAGGAGATATAGATAGATGGATACATGCAAACGGCATAATCAAACAAGAAAAGATAACTTGTCAATGAATAAAATATTATAACTCAAGAAACTTAGACCAACAGTTAGGAACTAAAGGCTTGAAAAACACACTTAAACTCTCAATAGTCAATATTCAATACAGCTAAGAAACACAAACTTGAATAAATTAGCTAGAACTTAATGAGTATGTGAACAAGGAGAGAGCTTGCCAAAGGATGATCTCCACCCATAAAATTTCATAAATTGGCTTTCTTTGCAACATGGTATTCAGACATGAAAGCACAAAAGAATGGCCTTTTCTCACACAGAAAGTATACTAGATTCTGTGTATTCAAAATGCATACTCCTGTTTCCATCTTCAACTTACAAACTATCACACTGAAGAGTTAGTACTTCGAAACACCAAAAATCAAAAATCACAAATGCCAAAGCAAATCTAAGCTTCCACAAGATATGATTGCCAATCACCAGATCAATAAAGAACCAGACAAGCTCCACCTTGTACTTGTGACCTAAAATGAAAAACAATAAGAGTGAATTGTTGAAGCAGACCGTCCACGCACTTTCCACCCACACAACCAGCAAGTCCAAAGAAAAAGTCCTAAACCCTAGACCCCAATGAACACTTAAAAATTCCAACCCATTGCATACGAAACCCTAAACCCATGTCGATTCTCCAAAAACCCATCATATCCGCACCAACATTCCATCAAGTACAGAAAACAAGCAACTCAAACAAACCCAAAATCAAAACCCTAGAAAGGGAACAATTAACCCACAACCCACGAGCCAAATCATAACAAACAATACAAACTTCAGCTCAAAGAAGCTCAACAACACAAAAACTCACCAGAAACCAAATCTGAGCTGAAGAAATCAGTGAGCTGAGCTGAAGATAACTGCTCCCGCAGCTGAGAAAAGCAAGAGCCAGCAGCTTCAAGTGAAATCGAAGAGACAATGAGAGCAGGTGAGCAGCTGAAAATCCCAAATTTGATACCAGTAGAAACAAGAGGGAAAGCTAAAGCTTTTGGAGTGTATTTTTCCCTCCAAAGGGAGAAAAAGAGAGGGAAACGGAGAGGGATCGAAAAATATTTTTGTCGGAGGAAGGGCTGAGCTGATAAATTAAAATCGGGATTTTCCATTTTCGCTGAGAATGTATTTTCGTTAATTTGTGAAACAGGGTTCGTCAGGGATGGTCCACTCGCGGTTGATCGTGATTATGCTCACGCGAAGGCGTGTGACGGTGAATCTGAAACGGTGCTTGTTTTGGGCGGCGAGTGATTTTCATTTGCTGAGTGTGAGAGTGGGAAGCTAGCTTGTTTCGAGCTGATTTACCACTGAAACGGCGTCGGTTAGCAAGGAAAAACGGTAGTGGAGAAATGTGTCTTGTAACCTTGTTTAGTTGTTTGCTTTTTAATTTCTTTGTCCGTGATTTGCTGTCAATTTTAAATTATTTACACTTGGGCGGTGCCTGCTCCTCCTGAATTTGCCGTATGGGGCCTTGTTCTTCTACTAAATTCAAAATTGACCTACTATAAGTTCTGTTTTAAATCATATGAAATTCTTATATACCATTTCAATTTCCTTTATTTTCGTTTTTTTTTTTCCCTTTGGAATGTTAGTTCTATTTCAAGAAAACCCAAAAAAATCTGTTGTTACTCAAGCACTCTCTTTCATCTCCACATCATGTTATTATTATACGTTAGTCACAATATCAAATAAAATAATAACTAGTGAATTTATCAAGAAATATCAACAAGAAAATATCATCGAAAGAAGCATGAAAAACTTACTTATTTTAAGACAATTCACACATTTACAAAGAGTAGATTAACCGGTGCAGTAGAGATACATTTTGCATATCTCCTCTAAGATGCTACAGTTTTATAATAACACTTTATAAATATGCACTACTCATAAAGTCACTTAACTCAAAACATTCTTTTTTACTCAAAAATATTTTGAAAATAGAGTCAGATAAGAAAGTAAAAGAATGTGGAGGAACTTCTTACTTTTTGAGCAAAAAAACATGTCCTATTTATAGGAGTTTTGATCATGTAACTCTCATTTGTAGATTAATAATAT